GTGGAAATCCATTTATCCTTTGTTGAAACTTCCGCGTCGTCGTGGAGAGCGCAGGTCACGGTTGCTTAGCAACGGCAGACGCCACGAAAGCGCAAGCTCCCGAGCGCTTAGGGAAGAAGGAGAGAGCGGCGCGGCTGGCGTTTTCCATGCGTTTTTAGGTGCGACATGTGTACGGCCCCAAAGTCTGTCTACACTGGACGCGACCGTTGCATATCATTTGAACTTTGTGTCAGTACGTCATAAACAGAACGCGGCATCAGTTTACTGTCAGGGATTTGTCGTGCCGCGCCGCATCCAGTGTGGACAGCATCACTGATAATGAGTTCATTGTATTTTGTCGCGCCACTCGCATCCGGTGTAGACACAGTGAGAGCCACGCCGATGCACGTGAACACTGAATTCTGTTCACTTCTGCGTCTATTTGTGCCTGAAATACTGTGTTCTGCAAGTATCCTTGTAAACGCAGTTGCTTATGGCTTAGGTGAAGGGTAACAATTGAGTAAGAAAATGGATGTGTAACAGTAGCCTATATTGGTTTACAGCAGTTTAACGTTCCTGAGGCTTTCTGTGTTATGAATGTTAATCAAACAACAAAACACAAAGAAAAATCACTTTTGTAGCAATTTCTGTTCCTGAATACTGTTAGACTTACCTGAAAAATATAAAGTACTGCTTATTTCATTTGTATCTTTGTTGTTATATTTATCTATGCTTGCAATCTGTTTATTTCCTATGCTGATTTACTCGCCTACAAAATCACCCCAATCATTATTTTTTTCCAAATAAACTATTCAAGTCATGTGGTGATTTTTTTTTCATATCGCAATATATATCGCAGAAAAATAAAATATCGCAATGTGAGTTTTTTCCAATATTGTGCAGCCCTACAATAAATGTAATACCTCAGTGACAACAAATGTTTTTTCCTAAACATACATACCTTAACATACATACCTACATGTATTATCCATTGCTTTAAATTTAAACATTTAAACATATTGATTTGAAACAATTTGTATTTTATTATTTCAGCAGAGAGAAATGATCACAGTACCTTAATGCTGCAGATGGGGGAGGGGGCCTGAGACAAGATTCTTTCAATACTCTGAAAATGAAGAGAGAGGAAATATAGCTTGTGATAATGGACGTATCTCTGGCAAGGAGAGGACAGCTGAATTTGGATGACAACTGTCTTGTCAACACATTTTTGCCACTCAGGATCGAGCCCACACTCTCCTCCTGACCACCGCTGTTCGACACAGCTGCAACAAATCACCACAAGTCATTTCAGCTCAAGTAACACAAGGCTTCATTTTCAGTGAGTGAACACATTTGCTCTTGGTTAAAAATCTGCTCTCAGACTCCATGTTCGGGTTCATGAATCTCTAATGCAACCACATAGGTTATTTACTTTCAGATTTTGAAAACGCTGACACACATCTGTTTCGGTGAACGAAACATTCAATGTTAAATGCTTGACTGCAAAACAGCTGGCCAGGTCACGGCTGCCCGATTCGACTGTGCACAAGCAGATTTCCAGTGTTGAAAATCAAGGCTCAACCCAAGACAACTTGTTACTGGTACTTTATCTTAATTATAAGATCAATACCATCACAAAAACAGTTACTACAGTAATTATATAATCATAGAGCCATACAAAATAAAATCAACGAGATCTCCTTCAAATAGTGTAGAGCTTCCAGAATCTCTGTCATTTTAAGCTACAACAACTAATTGATCTATTAGATGAAAATCAACAATAAAAAAATGGTTAACAAAAATGTCAATCAATATCGCTACTAGTTAGGTTTTTTTTTTCCCCTGTGCATGAACAGGCTACAAAGTAGGTTGCAGTAGGAAAAATCAGTACACAAGAAAGTACAAAATATATTAAAGTATAAATATTCTAAAGATTTATATTTACATTTTTGCACATAATAAAAACTATTCATGGCAAAGACCAGGGATGTTAAACCCTTTTCAGACCAGGGACCCCATGGCAGACAAAGAGACGGAGAAGGGAATCCATTACTGTATAAACCTGAATGTTGCATTACATATCTGGATTTCACAATTAATGATGGAAATAATCGTCAGAATAGTCTATTATTAAAATACTTGGTAGTTGCAGGCCTAATGCAATTTATTTCTTTTTTTTTTAGATATCTATCAGTAGTGGTCAATAAAATTTTAGCACAGATTTATAGTATTATAATTTACATAAAGCATAATATCCATCAGTGACAAAAAATATGATCATAGTCAATGGTTAATTTTTGTAAAACTAGCAATTGTTTTTTTCAAAAAAAAAAAAAGAAGCCAACTTGGGATCAATGACTATTTTCAATGTTGATTTTCTGCAAAGGAGACTAGTCAATTTATTAGCTCTTATTTTAACTAAGCGTAACTACATCCACTTGAACAAAACGGCATAGACGTCTAGACTTCCTGTTAACCACTAGCCACACTGTAGGCAAAACGGCAGGCCAGACTGGCTGCATACCGCAAACCCAGTCGAGTTTCAGAACAAAGCGCTCAGCATGACCTACATTACCATGTGAATGAGTCTGAAATAGCGGCTGCTATGATTCTGTGAGGACTGACTGTTTACTAGCAACATTCAGTCCAAGGTAAAACAGCTAAAATCTTTTAAAAAAGTGATTACTACAGCAGAAACATATAGACAGAAAAGGAAAAAGTAGGCTATGGAACAAAAACAGAAGCAAAACCAGCTGTTCATAAATATGTTCAATCAGAGATTGCAGAAAAAAACTAAATCAATAAACTGAACTATCAATTTAGGAGAATTATAAGCTTCATTATAACTCCAATCGATTACATTACCAATTAGAATATATATTCATAGACAAACATGAAAAAAACTAGCTTCAAAGTAATTCCACATGCAGGAGTACCAACATAAACGTGGCCCAACACCTGATTTCCAACACCACCTCCAAACTCACACTTGTCACATGAAAGGGCCCCTCGGGCCAACCTATCCAGCAGGTCACCTGATTTGACCCTGAAAATAAAGGGCAGGTCTATGTAACCCCCATCTCATAAATTCTCATCAATAATTAATTCTGCTTACATTACTGTCACTTTATTTTGAAGAATGCAACTAGTTGATTCAGCGGGATATTGCATTTGCAGCACGTGTTTACAAGTGCAAAATATTCTAATGAAATGCTGCAGCAAGCAATTTATGAACTTGGGCATGCAACTTTTAAATGTGTTATTCTTATGTCTGCATATCTAGAGCTGATGGTAAGTCTCAACATCAGAATAAACCTTAACCAGTTATGGAATAAGCACATATCAAATAGCATCAGACTTTATTAAGAGTTTGAATCCTTTGACATAACACAGTACAGCCTATTCTAATGGCTCTATCTACATTTATAAAACAGATGAAAAGCATTTAATATAATAATATTAACAATAATACCTCATTCTGTTGTGTAATACAATTTCTAACTCCTTTTTATATTTAAAATTTCCTATTGAAAAAAATTATTGCAGCTTTTAATAACATAAAATTTTTAAATCAGTATTAATAACTGACTTACAATGGATATATGTGTGTGGATACACATGTTAAAACACGTTAACGTAAGCCCTAATATGAAGGTTTAACCCGCAGATTATATTCATATTCTATTTAAGGATCATGTTTTATATTAAAGCACAATTGCACCATCTGATACTATGACTGTACCATGGCACCGCTACTTTTCTGGGATATACCACTTTAAAAAATAAATAAATAAATAATAATAATAATTGGACATATAATCTGGAGTACCATGTACACTTTTAGTTCTATTATATATTTTAAAGTATCATGGTAATAATGCAAATATATCATCGTAACCATATTCATTCATCATGGTATTTACAAGATACTTGTGGTTTTAGTAAATGTCCAAATAGCATAGTATCGCCATAGTAAGACAAAAAAAGAAAAATACAACTAAGATACAATATTTAAATAAAATAAAATCAATAATCCTTGGTGGCACACAAGCAAAAATCACGTTTCTTACACAAACAGATGCCAGGCAGATTAAAACCAATGTTCTCCAGCAACATACTTACTGCACTGCACATATCATAACAATCACAAATGCATCTTAACACTATTCATCATATGCTAAAAATTATTATTCATGCATATCAGTTAGGCCTCATTGCGACCTTGGCCTTCAAGCCCGCAACACTCCCGAGGCCCCCAAAATCATGCATCTGTCACTTTGCCAATCACAAACGTGACTCTTGCACTATGCTAATATTGGATCACATAAGAAATACATCACCGGATCTGAAACTTTCCTAATAATCAATACGTCTGCCATGTGAATCAGTCTTTCAGGGGCTAACAGACGCGTGTAGCTAAAAAGGCACCGTCATGCAAGAAGAAAACACATTATGCATTTATTTACCTCACTTAAAACGGCTTACAACAAATCCCCTATTGCATGTAAACTGCCAGGGACTGAAGGCACGAACAGTTTTCAACAAATGTACGCCGGACAGTACGGTTTTTAGGGTGATAGTGGTTAGCACGCGAGCTCCTTTTAGGGTGATAGTGGTTAGCACGCGAGCTCCTGTTAGCTTCGGTTGTTTTTATTGATTATTTCAGGATCACGAGAGGAAAAACACAAGCGATCAACGCGCGAGGTGTTTGTAGGTGCTCACCGGTGGTAAAGTGTTTTATTGGTCGTGTTGGGTTGTAGAGTGTCTTGTTAAACGGTGCGGTGCCCCTCTCTCCCCATTCCCTCCTGCTGCTGCTGCTGCTGTTGTCAGGCTGCTGCACGCGTGTGAAGCCTGCGACTACGAGGAATATGAAAACGTGAGCACAGCTAACACAACAAGTCCATAGCGACGATATTTCTTTAAAATAAAAGTCTCCGTTCTTTGACTAAGAGGGCACTTTTGGCCCCGTAAACGTTTTGAAAAAAGAAGGAAGCTCATTTCCCACACTCACACTGTTATATTCTTCTACTGACATTGCCTTGCATTTGAGATACAATCGTAGGAAAAGATCTGTAATTAGTGTCATTTTCGTTGAAGTCAGAACAATTCCACCACAGCGTAATTTGTAGCACATCTCATTTTTTTTTATTGTTTTAATAAAATAAATAATAATTTACAAACAAATTTAAAATAATAATTTTAATTAGTAAACTAATCAAATAATATTTTCATTTTTTTCTTTGTTTTTTTTACACATCACATAACACCCCAAGCATGTTCTTCAATGACACTGTTTGTCTTCATTAAGTACACTAACCTTTGTCACAACCGTAAGACAGTTGTAATTTTTGAAACATTTAGTTTTCACACGATAAACACCGAATAGTTTATGAACATTTACGTTTATGTTTATGATTTACTTTCATGTCTAGGTTTAATACAAGGCAATAAAACAGTCTCTTGTAATGTATCTTTACATTTAATAGCATTTAATAGCAATAATAAATTAAAAACATAGTAAAACGTTTCCAAGAAAGTTTTAAAGTGACCTTTAAAGTGACCTTCTTACCTTCATGCAACAAAAAGAAAAAAGTTTTATTATTATTATTTTATTTTTTATTTTTTATTTTTTTTTTTTTAAATCAACCCCTGGGTCATAAAAGTGCCCAAGCTAGTGCAGAGTTAACAATCAGGAAATAAAAAAATAATTACTAATATAAGAATGAATGACAGAAAAGGAGACAGAGCCAAAAAAAAACTTCTTTGGTGATGATTATGAATACATTTACAAAGGGTATTTCAAAAAAAAATTTTTTTTTTTTTTTTTTTTTTTTTTTTTTTTTTTTTTTTTTTTTTAAATCAACCCCTGGGTCATAAAAGTGCCCAAGCTAGTGCAGAGTTAACAATCAGGAAATAAAAAAATAATTACTAATATAAGAATGAATGACAGAAAAGGAGACAGAGCCAAAAAAAAACTTCTTTGGTGATGATTATGAATACATTTACAAAGGGTATTTCTGAAGAAGGATGTTTTCTTATAATAAGCTTGGTGTGAATAAATAAGTGTTCATGCAATTGATAAATAGGGGATTAAGACAACGGCTAGAAAATTCTAGAAAAGTACATTTATACAAATATTTATTTCCACTGTATGATTCGCTCTGCAGTCCAAATACACATCTGTTTAGTGTTTACTAAGAAAACAAGTGTGTCATGGTTTCTTACCACCATCTACGGGTAATTTTAGGAACTACCGTCGTTTCAAGCAAAAGGCGGTGTCAGAAAGAGGCGTTTGTTTGAATCTCGATCACAGTTCCTGTTTTGTTGTAATGTAATGTAATGTAATGTAATGCAAAGATAATCAGAGCTGCAGAGAAGTAGTGAAAAAAAGTGACGTGACATGTGGCCAAGTATGGTGACCCATACTCGGAATTACTGCTCTGCATTTATCCCATCCAAAGTGCACACACACAGCAGTGAACACACACACACACACACACACACCCAGAGCAGTGGGCAGCCATTTTTGCTGCGGCGCCTGTGCCTTGCTCAATGGCACCTCAGTCATGGTATTGAAGTAGGAAATGAATTAAAAAGAGCATATTATAAAGTGACATAAAAAAGAGAAACACCACACTTAACTCTTCTGTAATGTCGTACAACACCACATTTTAAAGCAATCATGAGACATAATACAAACATTAGTCTAACAAGAAAAATGCATGAATTATGTCAATAAAATAAATATGAATTGTTTATTAATTGAAATGTTTATTGTTTATCGGATTAGTTTTATTTACGTATATTTAAACTTAAAAATGCAGAATAATTACACCAGCTTTATTGAAAAATATAGTTATTAATTAATTTATTTATTAATTATTAATTCAATCTCGCTCTCGCGTCCAGTACTATCAAAGTCCCTTATTCTATAGTCTTTGGTTCTATTCAAAAACAATGTACTTTCCCGAGATGCATCCGCATGGACATATAGCAGCGGTGTGCAAAGGAAAACGAAGATGCCCTAAGTGTGGAGGTGATCATAGAATTGAAAATTGTGAAGAGAAGGTACAAGACAAGTGCTGTAATTGCGGGGGGCAACATAGGGTAACATACAGTGGATGTAATGTAAGGAAGAGAGCTGTGGAAATTGAACAAGTGAAAGTGGTAAACAACATAAGTTATGCAGAGGCAGTGAAGAAGGTCCAAGAGCAAAGGAGGAGTGATGATACTGACAAAGATAAGGACATCTCGAGACAAGAGGTTGATCAAGCAGTGGAAAGCAGCACAAATCTGACAGTGGATAGGCTGATTTTGTTCATTGCTTATGTAATTAATTGTACGGACCAAGTCAGACACAAAACAGAGAAAATTAAAATAATTGTGAAGGGAGCTGAAAAATTTGGGGGTATAAATAACATGTCTTGGGAAAATATCAATAAAAGGCTGGAAGTTGATGGGAAGTCGGGAGATGCAGGTGATAAGACAACTTGAATATTGTACAATGGAATGCAAGAAGCTTGTTAGCAAATGGTCAAGAGTTTAAAGGTTTTATAAAAGGGTTTAAAAAGAAACCAGAAATCATATGCATTCAGGAAACCTGGCTTAAACCAGTTTTAGATTTTAGTATTAAAGGTTATGATAGTATACGCAGGGATAGAGAGGAAGATATTGGGGGAGGGTGTATAATATTTGTAAAACAAGGAATACAATATAAGGTTTTAGGGAAAGGAAAGGAGTTGGAATTTATAATAATAGAAGTATTGGAAAAAAAAGGAAATGTTAAAATTATCAATTTTTATAATCCAATTCATGGAATGAATGCTATAGTTTTATTTTTCAGTTCCTTAAAATAACTCATTTGTGGGAGAGAATTTAAAAAAATACAAATAAAAAATAAAAATAAGAGGAAAAAGAACAAAAAAAAAATTGGGAAGGAAGTCCATTTTTGATCCACACTCCATTCCAGTTGGTGGCGGAAATACACCATTTTGTTGTTTGTCAACCGCCAATAAAATTTCAAGAAGAAGAAGAAGAAGGAGATGCATCCGCTCCATCTGGTGGCGGAAATACACCATTTTGTTGTTTGTCAACCGCCAATAAAATTTCAAGAAGAAGAAGAAGAAGAAGAAGAAGAAGAAGGAGATGCATCCGCTCCATCGCGCCTCCTTTAGACCAATCAGAAGGATGGTGAAAAACCCCTCTTCTCTGATTGGCTTAAAGCTGCAGATGCGCAATTTTCAAAATTGGTTAACTGCAGCTCTAGTGGATTCGTAGTCTGAGCGAACAGCACATAGAGTGTATCCAAATAACCTGCGTTATTGGTTGGATTTTAAACGACTTTGGCATCTTATTTGATCTGCTTTTAAGGGGGATCAGATGAACGGTACGTGCATTTGCTAATTTTGTCCTTATTAGCTTGTTTTTGTCATTTATTTTGGTTAGGTGCCATTTAGGCTCGGCAATGTCATACTAATGTATCTGCTGGTGTTTGCAGTATATTTGTGTATGTTTATATTTTTTAAATGGCTCAATATTTATATAAAGGATTTTCCAGGGTAACGTATATTTGCCTTTTAAAATCGAATTTTGTTTTAAGGTTACATTTAAAGGGCATTTTCAGACGCGGAGCACAGAAGAAGCTCCTTCAACATGGCTTCATCACAGTTAACTTTACCAGCAGCCAAAAAAGATGAGAAAGGCAGAAATATACAAGTGGTTGTACGATGCAGGTAAATGTACAGGTTTTGTATGTGTATTTATATTTTTTGTAAGTAGTATAAGCGAGCCTCAATCACAGATTTTGTATGTTGTATAACTTGTATTGTATACAACGTAAGTTCAATAACCAACATGTGCATGTTAGTTTTTACACTACTAGTTCAAAACTCTCTTTATTATATTCTGCCTTGCAAACATACATTTCTACATTGTTTTTTTTTTCTCTTTTTTTTCTGAGGAACATTTATTATTCATAAATGTGACATCTTGCCCCCCTGCCCACATCACATGATTTAAATGTCCAATTTATGAAATTTATTAATCACTGCGTTTTCTGGCCAGAGCAATGGTTTGATCATTTGTATGATTTTTCGTAATTGCTGACGTTTTAGCCGAAAAGCCTAGTATAAGATATTTATTTTTATTTATCTATTTTCTTGTGTTATGTGGCTTTTCTACATTTGTTTGTTTGTTTTTCTTTTCTAAATAAAATTTGTGTGTATTTATGAGATGGAAATTAATGTTTATCCTTTCTTAGAAACTTAGAAAGTAATGTTTAACCTTTCTCACATCTGATGTGCGATTCACAGACCCTTCAACACAGTGGAGCGTAAATCTGCTTCTCATACTGTTGTTGAATGTGATCAGAACCGAAAAGAGGTGATGGTCCGTACTGGGGGTGCCACAGACAAAGCAGCAAGAAAAACATACACTTTTGACATGGTGAGTGTTTAGCTTGTTTTCCACCCACATCCTGAGTATTAATGTCATCTAAATCTTTTCTGGTGTAGTAATGTTCATTAAATTTCGATTGGTTTAGGTTTTTGGTCCTTCTGCCAAACAAATTGACGTTTATAGGAGTGTGGTTTGCCCCATATTAGATGAAGTTATCATGGGCTATAACTGTACTGTTTTTGCGTGAGTATCTTTATTTAAATGTCAAATCATTCGACTTTACAGATAACTTTTTGTGTTATGTTTAAATTTATGTGTTTAACCCGAGGAAACGTTTTTAATCAGTTTTGGACCTACAAATTTTATTTGGTTTCTATACTACATTTTATTAATTAAAGTTTGATTTCCACCATGAAAATAGCTAAAAAAGCTTGTTGGTATTAACAAAAAACTTAACAA